CCCCCCCCCCCCCCCAAACCTCCCGACCCATCTAAACCCCTCAGCTCCTTGTCCCCTGACTGCCCCCTCCTGGGACCCCTGCTCCTAACTGCCCTCTAGAACCCCACCCCCCACCTAAGCCTCCCTGTTCCTTGTCCTCTAACTGCCCCCTCCTGAGACCCCCCCCACCTGTACCCTGACTGCCCAAAACCTTACACCCATAACCCCCCAGACAGCCCCCCCCGAACTCCTGACCCATCCAACCCTCCCCCCTGCTCCCTGTCTCTTGACTACCCCCCCCCAGAACCTCCCTGCCGCTTCCCTGACCCCCGGCCCCCTTACTGTGCTGCAGAGCAGCGCGCTCGACAGCGGGGGAGGGGAGCAGGGTCGGAGCTCCAGACTGCTGGAAGCCGAGGCGAACGGCCGGCCGGGGATCTGCGTATGCAGGGAGAGGGGGAGGGAGGGAGAGAGAGGGGGGGAGTGGTCTCAAGTTTCAGGGGAGAGGAGGGGGAAGTGAAGGAAGGGCTCTGGCTGCCGGAGCCCGTGCAAGTGGCAACATCCGGCCGGCTGCCCTGTAAGCCGCGCACACTCTGCATGGGGGGCGGGGGAAGTCCGGACATTGACAAATTCCCCCTGGACGCTATTTTTAACTGAAAAAAGCCGGACATGTCTGGGGGAATCCGGACGAATGGTAACCCTACCTTTTACACGCCCCATTTGGTGATTTTCGGCCCTCGGCGCCTGGCAAACAGCTCCAACGCCATCCACCGCCTGACAACAAGCTGCCCTCGGCTGCACAGGGGCCTTGGCTCCCCAGGGTGTCCCCGGCACAGACAGGCAGAGCCGCCGGAGCCGGGCGTCGGTGCAAGTGAAACGTTTTCGATCTCACCCAATTTTTCTCCTTTTTGCTGCTGTCATCATTACTCTTGTTAGTGTCAATTTAAAATCGAGACCTCGCTTCCAACCGGAAAACGGGAATTGTTCGTTTTGAAAATTATTTCACCCCCCCCCCGGGCAATTTTTTCCCAAGTAAAACCAAACATTCCTCTGAACCGAATCGGCATTTTCTGGCAAAATATTGTTCTTGGGAAATTCCTGCCCGGCTCTGCTCTGGATTGACTGAGAGCGGAGTCGGGCGCGAGGCTAGTTTGGATCCTGAGCTGCCTCCCATGACCCAGACTGTGACCTGCCTACGGGGGCTCCTGGATCCTTTAGCTGCCCGGTGTCTGGGGCTCCGCTGGGACCCGTCCCTCTGGCCAGCATGAGGGGAAGGATCCCAGCGCAGTTTATCCGGCTGCAGGGCTTGGGACGGGAGAAGACGGAGCAGGGTGGGAGCAGCACTGGGGGACCCCAGTGGGTCGATGGGAATTTGCCCGAATCCCATCTTGGGATTCGCAGCAGAGCTGGGCTCGGGGCGCAGAGTCCGGATCCCAAACACCCCCCAGCTGGGCACATGGGTTCCAGGTTTCAGTTCAGCCTGATTTTAGAGGTGGGGGGGCACCTACAAATGCCACTTCTAACATCTGAGCCATCAGGGGTTTGATTCGGGCTGGTCAATAACACGGCCCTTGCCTACAAAGGGGATCTGCCTCTCACTCCAGCCCCCAGAGTAGAGCCCTGGGCCCCAGTGTCTATTCTCTGCTGGCCATGGGGCTGGGAAGGGAAGGGGAGGGCTACACAGGGGCCTTCTCCTCTCCCCTGTACGCACCCACCATGCTCTATAAACCTACACACACGCCAAGGGGCTGCTTCCGGCTCACCAGACCCCTGACTCTGCTCTCCTCCCACAAGGGAAAGGGACCGGAGGGGGCGGAGGCCGGAGACCCTGGGCAGCCGGGAGCGCTGGGGAAGGTTAGCCAGGAGGAGTCAGTCTTACCTTGTGTGCCGTTATTCTGGGCTACGGTGCCCCACAGGCACAGGGCGATGCAGAGCCCTGGAAGGCAGAGACAGGGTAAGGCACCATGGGCAGATGATAACCGCCACTCAGCTGCACACACCCCCAGCCGCCCCTGTCCTGCCAATCCTGGGTCAATGGCCAGTCAGTGCCCTGATGATTCATAGATTCAAGGACTGGAAGGGACCTCGAGAGGTCATCGAGTCCCGTCCCTGCTCTCATGGCAGGACCAAATACTGTCTAGACCATCCCTGATAGACATTTATCTAACCAACTCTTAAATATCTACAGAGATGGAGATTCCACAACCCTCCTAGGTAATTTATTCCAGTATTTAACCACCCTGACAGTTAGGAACTTTTTCCTAATGTCCAACCTAAACCTCCCTTGCTGCAGTTTAAGCCCATTGCTTCTTGTTCTATCCTTAGAGGCTAAGGTGAACAAGTTTTCTCCCTCCTCCTTATGACACCCTTTTAGTATCTGAAAACTGCTATCATGTCCCCTCTCAGTCTTCTCTTTTACAAACTAAACAAACTCAATTCTTTCAGCCTTCCTTCATAGGTCATGTTCTCAAGACCTTGAATCATTCTTGTTGCTCTTCTCTGGACCCTTTCCAATTTCTCCACATCTTTCTTGAAATGCGGTGCCCAGAACTGGACACAATACTCCAGTTGAGGCCTAGCCAGTGCAGAGTAGAGCGGAAGAATGACTTCTCGTGTCTTGCTCACAACACACCTGTTATCGCATCCCAGAATCATGTTTGCTTTTTTTGCAACAGCATTACACTGTTGACTCATATTTAGCTTGTGGTCAACTATAACCCCTAGATTAGGGTTACCATTCGTCCGGATTTACCCGGACATGTCCTCTTTTTTGTACTAAAAATAGCGTCCGGGGGGAATTTGTAAAGCACTCACAATGTCCGGGATTTCCCCCCTCCCCCGGCAGAGCAGAGCGAGCGGCTGGGAGGGCTGCAGGAAAGTCCCGGGCTGGACTCCGGAGCAGCTGGAGAGGAGCCGGATCCGCCCTGCATTCTGAGCAAGTGTATCAGCACAAAGTGCAGCCCTCCCCTTTTGCAACTGGGAGCGGTTTCTGCCATGCAGCGTAGCAAAACGGGAGCGAGAGCACTTTGTGCTGATACAAGGGCAGCTCCCCCCTGCAATCCGGGCCAGGGACCGGGTTTTGTTGTGCAGGGCCAGGGACCGGGTTTTGTTGTGCAGGACCAGGGACCGGGTTTTGTTGTGCAGGGCCAGGGACCGGGTTTTGTTGTGCAGGACCAGGG